TGAGAAACCCTGTTGTGTACAGGTGAGAAAATGATAAACACTTTAAAAATTACCATCAGGGTGAAGGGTATATGGAAATTTTATACTGTCTTTGAAACTTTTATACAAGTCTAGAATTGTTTCAGAATGTCAAAAAGTTTTAAATAGGTACAATTGGCAGTTTTAGTCTTTATACCACTGTTTGCAGCTTAGAGATAAAACATGACTCGCCCCTTGCTGGGAATATCAGTTCAGCTCAGTCATTGTCCATGACCTTTGGATCCATGGTCCACAGGGTCCAGAAGGGAAGATGGCAGAGGTCCAAGGGCCCACAGTCCTGTAACGCCATCTGCTTGCTCCACTGTGTGAGTGCCTCCTGACAAAGCCATGTTTAGCCAGAGAACTGATGTTCTCCCCTAAGCCACTCAGCAGAACTGGGGTTGGAAGTCCCTGTTGAAGAATTCATTCCTCTTCAGGCAGGGCCTCCTTTGCTGCCTTTGTCCCCTGGCTGCATTATGAATTTGCATCTCAGTTCCTCAACAACACTGTGAACTCCTCTGGGTCAAGAGCTCGGCCTTTTTCTATGTGTATGGGTTACTTACTAAGAAGACTAAGAAGAGATTAGGCTCTGGAGACATAAATGTCTCTTTCACGTCTTACTAGTTATGCAACTTTGGTCATATTATGGAAGATGTTCAAGCCCTAATTTTCTTAACTGTTAAATGGATAACAATACCACCTCATATACTTTAAATGACTTGGTACATGTATTGGTACAACAGTAACACATATTGAGAGATTAATACATTAATATTCATTCAATCATCCATTTATTCAGTAGTATTAGGATTATTTCTGCTCTCCCCATACCCTAGTCTTTGCATTAGGAAGATACAAATTATGTTTCCCAGTCATACACATGCTTCCTACAGCCCTGTATCTGAGTCTTACTGTTTCTGTTGTGTCGTTGCAATTTAAACACCTACTGAGAATCTTCATGTTCTGTGGCAGGCACAGTGACTTGGAATCTTTAATATTCTGTGTCTGTCCCTCTCCCATCTTATCTCATCCTACCTAACTGTCTTCTTCAATTCATTTGGTATTTCCAATGAGCCATATGTAAGATTAAAGGTTTTGTAAATTATTATTTTCATTCATTTCTCCTAAGAGCCCTGTGTAAAGTAGAGATTATGACTTTCCTTGCTGTACAATTTACATGGCTGAGACCACAGAATTATGAAGCAGTATGTTTTTCAGTATTTTTTTCCCTTGACTTTCTCAGAAATTACACATGTTGAAAGGGGAGAGCCCCACTATCTAGCTGGAGGTAGACTGCTGCCTAAGGACTAGATGCCACTCTTCTGTCTCGCTTTATTACACATTGAAGAAGCTAAAAGAGATGTGCACAATTGTGCATTTAGCCTTTCTCATTACCCTGTGCTAGGTTCCAGGGATATAAAAAACTGTAAAGTGCTTGCATGAGAAACTACCAACAGAGCTAAGAGACATCCTACAATATGGGAAAAAATTTTACCAGCTGCTCCTCAGACAAAGGTCTACTATCTAGAATACATAAAGAACTCAAAAAATAAGGCCCCTCAAATATAAAGATCCAATTCAAAAATGGGCATCTGAAATGAACAGACATTTCTCAGGCAAAGAAGTAAAAGCAGCAAATATATGAAAAAATATTCAACATCCCTGGTCATTTGAGAGATGAAGATGAAAACAACACGGAGATTCCACCTCACCCCAGAAAGAATGGCTGCTATCAAGAAATCAACCAGTAACAAAGTTGGTAGTGTTGTGGGGAAAAAGGAACACTTCTTCATTGTTGATGGGAGTGCAGACTGTTGCAACCACTGTGGAAATCAATATGGAGATACCTTAAACAACTAGGATTGGAAGTCCCATTTGACCCAGCTATTGCCCTGCTGGGCATCTTCCCAAAAGAATTAAAAGAATCACACCACAGTGATATATGTGCACCCATGTTTATAGTGGCACAGTTTGTAATAGCTAAAACTTGGAAACAGCCCAATTGCCCATCAACTGAAGACTGGATAAAGAAGATGTGTTTTGTTTTGTTTTTTAATAAAATGGAGTACTGAGCCATAAAGATTGAAAAACTAGAGATATTTATAGCTAAGTGGATATACATTGAAGACATTCTTAAGTGAAATTAATAGGGCAAATGTGTAAATACCATATAGTTTCTCTAGTGTGATAAACTAAAAGTGTAAATAGGGTCAAAATGTATAAGTGATATTTTGTAATAGGAAGAAAAGTTCTAAAGGTATTGGGCAAGTGGGAGGGGTAGGGGAAAAGTAAAAAGGGAAGAGAAAAAATAAAAGAAAAGGAAAAAATGGAAACAAAGTCTTTGTAAATAGGGAAGGGTGGAGCGGGGAAGGGAGGCTAGGGGAATGGGGGAAAAATAAGAACCAAGATATGTCATGTAAAGGTACAAGATCCCAATGATGAATGTAACTGTATTGTATATCTAAAATGTACCCATAAAAATATTTTAAAAAATAGAAAGTGCTTCATAAATAGCCCCAGTTTGTTTAGTGTCAGTTATCTTTTGTTGTGCAAAAAAAGCTCCCCAAACTTGGTGGGTTAGGGCTGGGGATTTAACTCAGTGGCATTGTGCCTGCCTTTAAGCACAAGGTCCTGAGTTCAATTCCCAGTACACACACACACACACAAAACCTTAGTGATTAAAACAATGATTTGTTGTTTTTATGATTCTAGGGGTTGTCATCTGCTCCATGTGATATTGTTTAAAGTCACTCCCATGTTTTGTTTTGTTTTTTTCTGGGAGTTTAGTGTGGGGGCCTAAGATGGCTTCACCATCGCATGGTGATCACAATGGGAGGTGATTAGGTAATAAGGAGTCTGGCCTGCACATCTTACAGTCAGTGCAGCTGTTGGCTCCCCAGACCTCTTTTCCTCCCAGAATTCTGATGCTTCAGAGCTTTTCACCATGTGGTCTCTCCAGTGTGATAGCCTGAACTTCTTTCCATGGTTGTTGGTTACCAAGGGAGTGAAAATGGAAGCTGTATGGCTTTGCTCCTCAAGGCTTACTTTGTAGAAGTCACACAGCATCATTTCTGCTGCATTCTATGGGCCAAACCAATTTTCCCAGCAAGTTCAGGAGATACCTCTTTATGTGAGGAATGGCGTAGGGATGGAAGAAATTGTTGTAGCCACACTTGAAAGCAATCTGTCATTCTCATTGTCCATTTACCTCCTTAACCAGAACAACAGAATTTTAGAACTAGAAGCTTTCTTAACTATCATCTGAATCAGCTCCTTCTATGGTCTGCTTGTTTTTCATGACTTCTAATATAATTACACTGTGGTGATGTAAGGTTCTGGAACCTTCTGCAAGTGATCTGCCTTCATGAGTAGATTGTTGCCCTTATAAAATAGGCCCAGGCAAAACTCTCTTCTACCTTGTGAGGACACAAGAAAGTATCATTCATAAACAAGGAAACTGGCCCTAACCACCAACCAAATCTGCTAGTGCCTTGACCTTGGACTTCTAAGCCTGTAGAATGATGAAAAATATGTTCGTGTAATATGCTCCTGTATAAGTTACCCAGTCTATAATATTTTGTTAGAATAGTATAAATGAACTAAGGTAACCCCCTAGTTTCCACAGTGTGTCCTCACCTGTACATGCACATATTGCTTCTGGCAGAGGACACCTTTCTGCTGAGTTTCTCTCTGATCCAAGGCTATCATTATAAGTCTGCAGAACACAAGTGTGCAGATGAAGGAAAGAATCTACTTTGCCACCTTCTGTTTCTATGCCTGGTACCTACTTGACTCTATTCCTGGGCTAGGCACTAAGGTTTAATAGTCTGGCCTCATTGACCAGCATTAACAGGCATGCCTTCCTCAACCATTGCTTTTACTTTATATTCTCAGCATGAACTGATGCTAGATTTTACTTCACATATAAAATGAAACTGCCCAGCTGTGGATTTAGCTCAGTGGCACCACACCTGCTTCGCAAGCACAAGGTCCTGAGTTTAATCCCCAGTATGGGGGGCGGGGAAACAAAAGGAACTTCCCAGAACTTACCTCATGTTTTAAAATGAAATCCAACACATTTATGTACATTTATATAATCTATTACATTACTGTACATTTTTCTAAAATTAACAGGCATCACTGTGAAATGTGTTGCTAGATTTGAAATGGAGCATGTAAACTATGAATTATTAATTTCCTGCAGGGTAATTATAAACCTAAAAAACAGGCTCATTTTCCTAGATCATTAGGGTATATTTTGGGTTATTTCCAGGCTCCTAGTTGGAGTATGGATATTTGCTTTGCGTCAAAGACAACATGTGTCATCAAATACAGTTGTGGGATTCCTTCCCTTCTCATAGAGGATGTTGGAGTCTTATGGAGGATTAAGAGAGATGAGAGGTACAATTATTATATTGATGATACCTTGAAGGCCATATATAAATTTCTGAAGAAGAAGTGGCAGAAAATTCTTCACCTGATTCCTGATGTATAGAGTAAATTATTGATGGAATAAAACCTCTTTCTCATTCTGGTAACATTTGCTATTTTTACAAATTTTCCACAGCAAATTTGTTTACTGTGAAAATTTGGAAAAGACTACACACAAAAGAGAAAATGTGGATCACTCATGATCTCACTTTTTGGGCAAAACTACTATTAAAAGTTTCAACTTTTAACATGCTCTTAAAAACATAAGACCAAGGCCAGGGATTTAGATCAGTGGTTCTGCCACCTGCCTCACAAGCCCAAGGACCTGAGTTTGATCCCTGGTACCAAAAAAATAAAAAAAAATAGAGTGATAGATCTAAACTTGATATGGAGAGGGGGGGCTGTTCTTTTAAAACTTGTAAAACAATTTTGAAAATCATACTTTTGTGAGGTTTTTGGTTTTGTCTAAGTGTAGCGGGAACATGTTTCTGTGTGGTTAAGTATCCTTTGACCATGCAGAGAAAGTAAATATCTCTCTTCTGTTTTAATAGGACAGTGACATTGAAGCGTTGGCCCGGTGTTTGGAGGGCGTCCTGGGTTGCACCTCTCTCAGTAAGTTTCTTCAGGTTCCAAACTGCAGTAATATGTACTGATTTCACAGCACTAGCCCAGAAGTATAAAGCTTGGGAGGAATCATAGATATTTTGCCCAGCCTCTTCATTTTACAGATGAGGAAAACTGAGGCGAATAGAGGTTGAGTATCTGGTTCATGGGCCAGGAAAGTGAAAGAAAATTTTTATTTTTTATTCTTATTTTTATTGTTGTTGTTATTATTATTATTGTTATTATTAGTGACCTTCAGTCTCCAAGAATGAAACCATTGAAATTTGGCAGCTCCTCTGATCCAGTGGTGGCCTGGCAGTGCGTAGTAAGATTTACAGTCCCCAGAAGAGGGATCTCTTCTACCTAACTTGTCTTGTAGATGCAGATTGTGTTCAGTCACGCTGAAAGGACCATCTCTCTGAAGGTCAGTCAGTTATTGGAAGAGATTTGGTTCGAAAAACAAAGCTTTTTTTTTTTTTTTTTTTTTTT